CTCACCGATGCTTGCGAGGGAACCACCCAGAGAGATCCTAGCACAAGCAGTCTCGAGAGGTGGTTAACGGGTCCACTAATATTCAACACTTAAACAGGTACTGAAGTTTTGAACATGCCTCCCCTAAAACAAAACAAAAGAGGGGGAAGAGGCGCGGGTTCAGGTTTTTCAGCATCTTCACTACTTTCAAAGTTGAATCTTCAACGTTAATGTACATCTAGACTATGAAATTTCAAATTTATGAAATTCCTAAAGTGGTGAAGGTGCTGAAAATTATGAACAACCCCTCAAAGAAAACAAAACAGGGGGAGGGCGAAGGGGTTTATAACTTTTAGGGTTTTCACCACTTCAAAATTTTCAAAATCTTCAGTGTCAAATCCATTTGAATGCCTCAAGGGGGTGTTCAAAATTTTCAGCACCTTCACCACTTCACAGTTTTCAGAATCTTCAACGTCTATTTGCATTGGGATATAAGGGGGGCATTCATAATATTCAATATTTTCAACGCTTTAAAATTTTCAAAATGTTCAACATTATCCAGAGGGGGGGGGGGAGCATTCAAAATTTTCAACGCCTTTTAAATTGTTGAAACCCGATTTTAAAAACTTCAAAATCATTGAATCTTTCCCACTTCAGAATTACTTTCAGTGGATTCTGCAAGCTGTTGACCACTTGTGGTGGTCTTTGGATAACTAATTGGGTGGGGCCTATGTCAGTCTTTGCCATAGTGCCCTTCAGACAGGAGGGTGCCTGTGCAACACGCGCTACTATCTGTTTGTCTGTGTCTAAAGGCCCAGTAGGAACATCTGCGACTCGTACTGGCTGTTCCCTTTTGGGTGGCGGTAATCAAGGCAGAGATAGACAATGTGGCTAGGATCACCCACATTTTAAGCACTGGTCGGCGTTAAGCCTTTGCTGCCACATTGATTTCTCGATACCCATTTCTTTCAAAGGCTCACCTTCAACAAGCCCTGGTTGCGCTGGCCATGACTTGCACCCTCTGCCCCGTCCAACTGTGGAGGGAGAACCGCGTCCACCTTGTGGGGAACCATAACCCTTACCTCCCGCGTAATAGCTACCTTCGCTACTACTCCCCTAGGTGCCACGTCCTCTTCCTCCACCCCTTCCCCGACCTCCTCTTCCTCCTTGTTGCCCTCCCTCGTAGGCTGCAACAGCCGAATAGTCCTCTCCTTGGGCTACATGGTTGTTGTTGGGCTCTTCCAGTCCGTAATCTATGTTTTCGTAGTGCTTCCACTCCCCCTCCCTCGAACGTGACTAGAAGGTTGTCCTTCCCTTTTATACTTCCTCCTATAGTTTTATTCTTCCATCGGCCTCCTTTCTGCAGGTCCTTCCAATAATGATAGTAATTGGCCTCCATCAGGAAGCCGGCCTGATCTAGAGAGATCTTACTAAATTTCTCGTTAGTCATGTCGTCCTCTTCCGTACGAGGGTACAGGGTGGTCCTCAGGGGATTAGGCATAACTCTCGCAAAGTTATTTAGAATCTGAGTGGGTGTCAGACCGTGCTCGGGACATTGCAATAACTCATCCATGGTGGCTGTCAACGTAGCGACACTCTTCCATTTTCGATCAGCTATATTGAGGATTAAGTGTTGTGTACGTCGGGCCAGGTTCTCATCTTCGAACCACTCCTTCAGGGCCTTAAGGAAATCCTCTATGCGAGTGCGCTTAAAGTGTTCCACCATTGACAAACAATTTGCCTCCTTTATTAGGGAGCTGGCAAAATTGGCGGCATCCCCACCAAGGCACGAGTTCACCATCAAGACACGGTCCCAATATGGAATCAATTGTGCATACATATACTTGCCCATCTGCGCCTCCCACTGATAAAAGTTTTCTTCCCTCTTCCCGTTGTACGTCCAGGGAAGCTTCACCTTCGTCTTTTCTCTCCTTTCTCTCCCTTCCAACCGATTGTGATCTAGCTTTCTGTCCCCCTCCTCCTTCGGGCCTCCGTCACCGTCATCTCCATCATCTCCACCTTCACCTCCATCAGCACTTCTTGACTTCATGGTGTCGATGGTGTCTACTAACCTCGAGGTGAATATTCCTTCCTATTGTTGTGCATATCCCTGGACGCACTCATCTATCTGGTGGATAGTGACACTTAGGTAGCTGTTCCAAGTGCCTTTGGACTCGTGATTGTGTTGTTCAAGTCGGGCGATTGACTTATGGCAGCGAGTTCCTGGTTAGTATGTAACAGGGCGTTGACCATGAGGGTACGATCGTCTTTCCATTCACCCTCACGGCCCTTCTGCTCCTTGAGCTGGTGTTCAATCTCCTCCCCTTCAACTTTCAGCCACCTTGTCTCATCCAGCTCCACCCTTTTCTTTATCAGGAGCCGCTGATGCAATTCTTGATCTCTCTCCTGCATCAGCAGCTCTCTCTCAGCATCGTCCTTTGCCGCCTCCAATTTTGCTGTGAGTTCTGCCCTCTCAGCCTCTGACTCTTTTGCCCACTCATCCTTCCTGAACTCAAATTTCTCCATCCACGTTTAGGTGTCAATTGGGTAGAAGTGCAGTTGACTGGACTGTCTCCTTTTGGTACGCATTCCTCCTTCAACCTTGTTGCTGGGGTCATCCAGCCTCACCTCTTCTTCTTCTTCTTCTTCTTCTTCTTCTTCTTCTTCTTCTTCTTCTTCTTCTTCTTCTTCTTCGTCTACTACTACTACTACTACTACTACTACTACTACTACTACTACTACTTCAACCTGTTTTTCTTTTTTTTCCAATGATTTTAGCTTCTCCTCCAAGTCTCTTTTCTCCTTCTCCAATCTTTCTTTCTCCTCCTCTTTCTTCATCTTTTTCTCCTCCTTTTTCTCCTCCTTTTTCTCCTCCTCCTCCTTCCTCTTCTCCACCAGCCTCCTATCAATTTCGGCCTTCTGTTCAGCGGTGTACGGCTGGGTGGACACTCTGGACCAACTCACGACATCCATACCAAAAGTCCGAGCAAATCCCAGTGGAAAGAGGAAACGGAGGAGGGGGCCCCATATAGCAGACAGGGCCAAGAAGCCAAACATCGGGTAGTCATCCATGTCGAGGGCCGGCACAGGTAAGTTGACTCCGCCTCCTGACCACTTAAACCTACCCTTCAACACTTAACAGTCCTCGATACTTGCACTAATCCTAACCTAAATCAGGGTCTGACAAACTATTTCCCTTCCCACTTCTGTCACTACAGCTCTCCTGACAACCGGTGGGCAACCGGTAGTTTAAGGTCAGCCAGCACAGACCTCAGGAATTCTTTAAGGACGCAAACAGGACGTTGTGCCCACCGATATGAAGGATTGCTCTCAATACTTGGACTGGTCCTCACTGATTGCAGCGGTTTTCGGGTATAACTACCACCAGCGAATGGCCGGCTGGTCAGTACCGGCCTTGGAGGATCTCCTTGGCGTCTTCAACTGGTGGACCTTATGTCTCACCCCTACTCTTTCCGTGCATTATACAGCTGGCGAACCCTACTGCCCTCTACAACTCCTCACTGTGTCCTGTCCAGTCTTCAGTTGCACGCCGGTCAGTACCGGTCATTGGGCCTAGCCGGGTTGTTTTACGAGCGCCCACTGCTCATTGCTCGTGCTCCCTACTAAGGTAGGTCTGGGGATACCTCTAGCTGGCAGTTGCTACCCATGACCTAGACCACACATTCACAAATTTGCAGACTCGAAAACAGCAAAGAGTCTTTAGTTCTATCAGCTGACGTCAACAGAAAACCTAATTGCAGCAGAGGTCGACAGGATATTACGTAGGAAGGTACCATTCACAACAAAATTCAAATTGCATGAAACGACAGGGCCATGGCAACGACCACACATTCACAGACTTGCAGACTCGAAAACAGCAAAGAGTTAAGTTCTATCAGCTGACGTCAACAGAAAACCTAATTGCAGCAGATGTCACCAGGATATTACGTAGGAAGGTATCCCGATCTCTTTCCCCTTTTTTTTGAAAAAAATAATTTGTATTGCCCACCGGCCTTCTTCCTTGCCAGCGCCTCAACTCCGAGCGGATGCAGCGGGAACCAGCTCTGATACCACTGAAATGAGGCAAGTACTCGTCAAGTTCCACCTCACGTACATCAATGAACATTTCACATGAGAGCTCACAAGTTAGAAGCCAACCCGAGATACAATCAACACATGAAGATGTCGTCCCCAAAATTATTATCAATATACAAGAAGCGTTTGTCTCCAGCGGCTATGCCACACACACACACACAACGGATCTCAGCCAGATAGCGGCTATGGCTCGCTCTGCCTCACTCTCTCTCTGGATTGTCACCCTGGATACACCCACTCGGGTAAGCCCTTGGTGGCTATGGTTGCCCTCCTCCTATGCTACCCCTAACCTAGCCAGGGAGTAGCTCGCGGGTGCTCTGTTCTTCTTCAGGTGCACAGTGCCCAAGTTCCCTTAACGCACAAGCAGCAGTGTCGCTTCCGCATCTCGCAACTGAACAAGTGATGAGTCGCTGCACTGTAGCAGCTAAATATAGGACTTGGCTTGACTTGGCCTGCTTCAGACCGGTAACGGTTGGCCGCGGCCTGTCTGCTGCAAACATTTTGTCGGGCTGGTACCTTCCGGACTTTCCTAGGACATGCTGCAAAATTGGAGTTGGGACTGTCGGACTTGACTGGACTCTTCGCGACATTTTTCTTTTCCGGTACCGGACGGACTTCTACAGACCTACGACTTTTCGGTACCGACACCTTCCAGCCTACGATGCTTCAGCCTACGGACCTGATGCCCTATACCAGGACAGCCTGGGACTAGGACACTTCGTGAATCCATTCATTTTGGAAATGAAGCCGAAAACAAGGCAGCATAAAAATGTGACAATGTACAACCAAGCTGCAGGCAAGGATGATGAGGCATCAGTTGAGTTGAAACTTGGAAGATATATGTTTTTTGTTTTCGTGTTTAGTAACTTTGGTTGGAAAGATCATCGACTCTCAGCCATTGTTTTCAACTTGTGTTTTTGTTACAGGCTTATCGGAGGGTGGGTGCCCAGCTTACAATCAAAGCAGACAAGGTCCTTGGAGTCATTGGAGTCGCGGATGTTACTCCTCTCATGGTAATGTAACTGTACAATTTTGCAAGCTCCACAAAGTGTCAAACATTTCTGGTCCACATCTGGAAGTTGTTGTCAAAGATTTGGTCTACTCGTCCTGAAAGGCGGATACAGGGGACCTCTCCACAGGAAGAGGGTATTAAATGAGGGAAAAAGAAACACCAGCTCTGATGCTGAGCATCCTGTGTTCACTTCTTCTGGCTGTGAGCAGTTGGGATTGACCCCTATTAAAAATTTTGCTGTGTCTTGTATCTTCCAAATCGGCATAGTATTTCTGCTGCCATTGGGGAATTCGCATTTGTTCTGTTCTTTTCTTTGTTTCCCTAGATGCTGCAAATCATCTGCAGCTGGGCATTGGGATGGATTCGCTTGAATCGCCTTCTTGAACTGACACTTAGCTGATGTCCTTAGGAACTTTGGTCCAACAGTAAGCACATTTGCTCAGTGAACGTAGTAAACTGGCCTGATTGTTCTGCGACATAGTTTCTTTGATGAGAGGACAACCAGATTACTTCGCGTCATACGCTCTCTGCTGTCAACTCATAGGCTATTTGTGTCCTTGATGGCATGTGAAACAGTAAGCACATTTGCTGAGTGAACGTAGTAAACTGGCCTGATTGTTGTGCGACATAGTTTCTTTGATGAGAGGACAACCAGATTACTTCGCGGCATACGCTCTCTGCTGTCAACTCATAGGCTATTTGTGTCAGTTTCTTTGATGAGAGGACAACCAGATTACTTCGCGGCATACGCTCTCTGCTGTCAACTCATAGGCTATTTGTGTCCTTGATGGCATGTGAAATGAGCCAAGTACTCGTCAAGTTCAACCTCGCATACATCAAAGAGCATTCACATGAGAGTTCACACGTGAGAAGCCAAATCGAGATACAATCAACACTTGAAGATGTCGTCTCCAATATTATTTTCAATATACAAGATTGTTGGTCTCCAGTGGCTCTGCCACACACACGCACAACGGATCTCAACCAGACAGCGGCTATGGCTTCTCCCCTCCTCTCCTCTCTCTCGCTGACTTGACTCGCTCTGCCTCACTCTCTCTCCTGTCTACCCTAGATCGGTACCCTGGATACACCCACTCAGGTAGCTTACACCTTGGTGGCTATGGCCGCCGTCCTCCTGCTCTACCACTGGCCTAGCTATGGAGTATCACTGAAGCGCCCTCTTCTTCTTAGGCTGCACAGTGCCCAAGTTGCCTTAACGCACAAGCAGCAGCAGCGCTTCCGCATCTCGCAACTGAACAAGTGGTGAACCACTGCACTGTAGGAGCTAAATATAGGACTTGGCCTGGCCTCGGTTGGCTTGGCTTGGCTTGGCCTGCTTCAGACCGGCACCGCTCGGCCGCGGCCCGTCTGCTGCAAACATTTTGTCGGTCCGGTAGCTTCTGGACTTTCCTGGGACATGCTGCAAAATTGGACGTGGGACTGTTGGACTGGAATGGACGCTCCTGGACTTTTATTGTTGGGTACCGGACGGACTCCTACCGACCTACGATGCTCGGTACCAGTACCTACCGACCTACGACACTTCGGTCTCTAGACCCTACAGCCTACCCTACGGGATGGCCCTGGGACTTCGGACTTGTAGGGACCCTGGGACCGGGACTGGGTGTCTGCAGCGCGAATCCTTTCATTCCCGGCGGCCTAATGTCGAGGTCCTCCGGGAAAAATCATAACTTCATCGATCATACACATTCACTCCCCATCTAGCCCTCTCATAATAGGAGACAATATGAGGGGCTGTTTGTATTAGTTCCTGCCCGGGGAACCAGCGGTCTTCACTGGGTCCCTGATAGGCGAATCTGACTTTGTATTGCCTTTGCGGTATCCGTCAGCGACCTGTACGGAAAGTATCTTCAGCCACTATTTGGTCCATATCAGGTGGAATCATGGAACGTCGAGAGGGAAACTGATCGTTTGTAATCCACGGAAGCAACTTAGATGCCTGGAATACTGGATACATATGCAGGTGGGGTGGAATCTCGATAGTGTAGGACGGACCATCTGCCTCTCCTTTGACATCTAAGACTTGCCATGGCTGTTACGGACTCCCCCAGGGCTCGATCCCTGGTCTATCTTTTTGCTGTTTCTGCTGCATCCCGTTTTCGTCCTGGCACCCTTTTTTCCAAACCCCTCCTTTGGTACCGTCGGATCTTGGACAACTGGCGCCATGCTGCAATTCGGGCGCCACTTTCAAATACTGCATTTTTCAGTTCTGCCCTCGGGGCTTTTGCGGAAATGCCCCTGGTACCGTACGTGTCACTGGTACTTATACCGGCTCCCCGTACAGTACGGGGACCAGTCTCGTACCAGTTTTCTGCTGCTGTGCTCGTACTCAGTGTGACTTGCTGTTTCGGCATTCGGAATCCAAGACTTTGACTTTGTGCCCTTGCCACTGTGTCTGCATCCGACCCTCAGTCGTGTCGAGTGAGTGAGTGTGCGTGTGTGCTCTCACTCTCTCCCTCTCTCTCTCCTCTCCTTAGGCTCTCCCTCAGCCCCGCGCTCGTCACACTGGTATCGAAGTGGTTCGAACCCGCCCGACCCACCCTGCTTCGTCGTCACCACCTGGCCATCATCAGCATCATCGTCGTGATCGGCGTCGTAGTGCCACGTCATCATCGTGATCGTCGCCGTCGTGCCACGTCATCGTCGTCATCGTCGTCGTCGTGCCACATCGCCATCGCAGTGCCCATCGCCCTCGTCGCCGCGCCGTGCCATCCTCGTCATCGCCGTTGCTACCTCCGTGCAGATAAGTAATCGACGATAATTTTTTACTTTTTTTTTCTCTTCTTCTTCTTCTTCTTCTTTCTCTGCGTTCTTTTCTCATTCTTACCTTCTTCTCCATCTTCTTATCATCGTTGTCGTCATCGTCCCTCCTTTTCCCTCCCCTTCTTTCTCCCTCGTCGCCGACATTCCCTTTTCCTCTTCTTCTTCTTACTCTTCGACAACGTTTCTATTCTTTTTCCTTTCGTTTTTTTTCCTCTTCGCCATTTGTTTTTATTTTTATTTTTATTTGTTTCTTCCTTTTGATTTCGAAATTGAAACCAATTCGATTTTGTTTCAGAAATCAAATGGAAATCATATCGATTTCGATTCGAAATCGAAATCCATTCGATTTCGATTCCAAGACTGAATCGATTTCGACTCGAAACCGAAATCAATTCGATTCCCATTCCGAAA